AAATTCAACAATAATAACAACTTACATGAATTAACACATCATATGTAAACTAGACCAACTTTGTGCTTTATTCTATGCGCACTTTCTCTTTCCGTATCCTTAACTATCCATCACTCTTCCTTAAGACGATATATTTAAAGAGAAGTGAGAGTAATAATCTACTCTCCAGTATAATGTGACGGAAGATTTAGGTTGCTTCTTTGTTTATAATGGAAAGTGAGAGTTCCACTGGAAGCATCCACGTGACGTACCACGTATTTACAAAATTAGAATAACCACGTAAAGTTGGAATTGCCAAAAGAGGCGAGACATCTGAGAATTTTTCCTCGGAGTAATCTTCTTGGTGCCCCCCAAAACTCAAACTGATTAATTTTACGAGGGGGACTATTTTAAACCCCTGAATTCCATCTGGGAACACAGACTCTCATTTAGCTTAGCCAATTACGATTACTTCTTTACCCACTAAATATCTTTACTACTGCCATCAAATTCAGAAAATCCTGTAGAGTCTGCCTTTATTAATAGTGATTCTGAAAAAATATGTTATGACAACAGTTTCAAGTGGAGGTCAGTTTCGTAAGATTTTACTCTGATACATATCAACCCTAAATATTTTGCCGCTGTGACCTGGCGTTCACACTGTACTCTTGCTTGTTCCTAACTGTAAAACAAGTGGGTCTTAATTAAACTTCTTTTCATGCCCCAAGCAGATCAGAGAAATGACATGAAACTTACTCTCACATTTTAAGTTTTGTTTTGACTCCCCAATATTTTGAAAATGTTGTTATCGCTACTACTCCAGAAGTTGGTCTTATCAATGTAGGTTATTTTTTTTTCAATAAAAGTGGTTTTATGATATATAATTGGTTCTGTGATATCCAATATGGCTACCGCACATTCATTTCGAATAGCTTTCTTCCCGAACGTAAAGCTCTATTGCCATTGACTTTTAACCATAAGATACGTATGATGTCTTGCTGGACCTAAATGAAGATGGTGCCAATCTCCAATATGGCTGCCATGGCACCACTACCTGGATGATAGATGGTCGTGTTGGCATGGAGCTTTTACCAAGAGACTCCTTGACGTGCATGTCCTGAATAAAAATGGTGTTGATGTGAGATATAAGACATCCACCGTGAGGTTCAACCTGAATTTTCTTTATCGCTGTGTATCTAGAACGTATGGCCATATAAAGAGGACATTTTATGATGTTGTGTAGGCCCTACATGAAAATTCATGGCAGCATTTTCACACACAAACACATACACACATATGTTTTAAGCAAATGTACACTGTTTGAAATTTTAAAAAATCGTTACGTATCATACTGCCATTATAAGTCCTGTCTTTGGCTGAAAAGTCGGGAGCAGGGAGATGGGAGCCATGGATTTATCCCGATTGATATATCGACATCTCATTACAGACAACATACCATATGTTTCTTCAAATAGATTCTTATTCCTGAATAGTATACATTTTATCACTCAACAAGTCATGGCTGTCTTTTGATATAAAAATAACACTTATGTTGTGAATGAGCTATAATTAATCATCTTCATAAATCCGTCAGTAGTAAACTGTTTGCCCGTAAAATTTCCAATATCGGAATTGTTCCGAAATTTTGTGGTTTTTTTTTCTGGTTCACTATGTGCTTCTTACTGATATACATTGATCTCCTAGTCAGCAAAGTAATCACATACACGTTGTTACTTTTCGAATTAAATAAGGACATTAAATTTGATTCGCCAAGAAGTAATATGGTCTTTACGTACACCTGTACCGAGCATTTTTAAAATAACATTTTCAAAACATCTTTTATACCTGTTAATACGGTTTAATTATTTTCGAGCTTTTCTCATTTTCTTCTATTCTGTTTTAATGACCCCTAATCGTGTGAATCGGTAGTGGATTACCTGCCAGGACTGCGATCAGAAGGGTACAGGTTTGAATCCATATTAGTTCAAGCAGGTTCATCCGCCTTGGTGTTGTCCCCTTGCAAGACACCTTTCTTCTATTATCTCTGCAGAATTTAACCTTTGATGTGTTATGTGCCATTAGACACAAAGAAAACCAACATTCCGGAGTTTTGGTTCAAAATATCCTGGCAAAGATGTCAAAACTAAGAACATAAGTTAGTGTATTTTAATAGTGAAGACGCAATCTTGATATGAGACAAACCGTATTCTACCACAAGTACTCAAAGGATGATTAAGGTACAAAGAAACGCAATGATCGACATGCATGTGGCTTAAAGAATATAATGTTTTGCTAGATGAGATAGATAATAAAGAGAATGCGAACGAGATATAAGGCCTTCTTTCACAAGGATTTAATCGAGTAGCAATTATTTGGCAACAGAGAACATAAAAGTTAAATATTTATGCATACATATTCACAGAATGTGTTATTCTAAATTAAGTCTGGCCAAATTCTTTATTACCCGCGACTTTCTCTCAGTCAAGACGACCCATCCATTCTCTGTCGCTGGAAAGGAAGCAGTTCAAAAATGGACACAGCCTCGTCATGACTAGTGGCACATGTAATTTTCCCCATTATATCATGATGCATTTTGAGTTAGTGAGCACACAAATCAGAAGTTTTGGTAATTATTATTTTAAACTGTCAAACGTGTAAGGTTTTTGGGTTTTCTTTGGGTTTTTTTTTTAATAAGTTACAATTGCACATCGGTAAATCATCGTTGGGATAAAAAAAAAATTCTGAAGCAGCAGTTGCCTTACAGGGAGGAGGGATATCTTTTTTCAATTGACTTTGCAGTAAAATGATCGATTAATTGTCATGACAATTTTTAGACAGATAAAAAACTGCATATTCCCAATTTATTTCTTGTTTCTTGGTGTTAGGAAGAAAATGGGTTCAGATGTATATCTCTAGATATTTCTTCAAATAGAGTCAGAGCGACCTCGATGGCTCACCATCGGTAATTCCTATTTGTATTACATCAAAACAACGGCATTCTTGTCATGTACCCCGATCCACTGCGGTCAGGCATTGTAGATTATCACAATACTCCAGAACTTAAACATGGGGATCACAAACAACATGTTTAGCTGATTGATTTGACTCATTCAGCATTACAGCCATCAACAATTTACAGATACCAGTTAATAAATGGATGTAAAAGTAGTCTGGACAATTTCAGTTTAATTAATAAACTTCTGTTATAATCATGAGACATTAAAATATATATGTAGGGAATTACTGGTTGGACAGTAATAGGTGCAAAATAAAATATAATGAATACATCGAGATCATAGTTTTTGGCTGGACATGCACTGGCGTGGGGTCTTCGACTTGTCAGAATCAAGTTTGGGAAGTTTAGGGTATTCCTGCAGCGATCGACATGCTGGAATGGGTTCATGGATTTGAGTATTCCTGGAAAGATCATTGCCTGCGCGTCTGCCGTATCTTGGTGTACGTGGAACTTGTGCTCCAATGTCTTTCGCCAAAAACTCCGATTCGAATGTTATACTGCTTTGTTCCTCTGGGAATGTTTCCAATTTTTCTAATCCTCTTAATCGTCTGTATTTATTCCTTCTCACTTCACTTTCCTTCATGTTTTGGTCAAAGTTTATTTTCAGTTCCTGTTGTCTTCGTTCCCGCCTTTCTCTTGCCCTCGCTTTTCTGTCATCACACACGCTCTCTGCGACTCCTTTATTATTCAGATGGTTGTCTTTGAAAATCTGAGCCATCAATTGTTTATCCGCTTTGTTGTAATCTAACTCATTCTGGGGGTGCTTTAAACTCGGTAGTCGTCTAGGATGTCTTCGCCGCAATCCATGATTCCTAAAGGAAACTTGAAATGAAATACCGCCACTTGTGGTTTTGAATAAACGGTTGTCATCTAGGTTTGGTTCATCACTTTCAAAAAATCCACCTTCTGTAAGTTCCTTTATCACATCGGCGTCTGTTTTAGAAGCTGTATTTTGACTATTGTTGGTCTTCATTATTTTCGAGTTACTACATCCCATTACAACTATCATAGAAAATAAAAATGAGAGCGACGACAAAAACAGTCGCCGGCATAGCGTAGCAACGGCACACAAATTGTGATGACGTATTGGGCGTATTATTTAATGACGTCATAAATCGTCTACTCGACGTATAAATGACGCTTTCGCTCCGTATGACACACAGCTTCATATTTTGCAGAGAGTTATATTTCAAAATTAAAAGTGAATTCTGATACTTGACCAATGGGATCATGTACTACTAAAAAAAGAATAAAGAAAAATCGTGAAACTCCTTTATTTTAGTATTCGGCCACTGGAAAAGCTGTTATCGAATTTCAACATGATTTTATCACAGGGATCGAGGGCTAAATTGTGCTGTCGGAGTGAATGTCAAGATTTTAAATGTAGAATCGCGTATCAGATGCTTGAGATGAAATTTAACGTTTAGCAGATCAGATTCTTCAATTTTTGCCATGCAAAAGGCATTTTCCGTTACTTAACTTTCCATATGAATGTGGTTGAAGGAAAATTATTCCGATCATGGACAGGTCAGTAATATAACATTTCGGATATTTTTAATAATTTTTTACTGATGATTTTATTCTATGATTTCGCGCCAGTTTATCTAGCAAAATTGCTTTAAAAAAAAAACGAAATGGAGTTTGTACTGAAATAAAAATTGTGCTAAAAATAGACCATGATGTAACTGTGCCCGGCTGCCGCCATATTGTTTTCAAATAAAGCACCTAGTGACACGTAGTAATTCACGATAAATATGCAAACAATGTTTTTATTTGCACTTTCCTCCCAATATGATGTTTTGAAATGTATGAGCGTGAAGAGTAATAATCTTGGACTTTTTTTTTCTCCTTTTGTATTGGTTTCAAATTTACTTTGAGTAAAACTCTTGTATGTACACATTGTCGCAAATGATTTTGTTGGAACAACTATATTCATTTATATCTATTTTGTTTCCCTTTCAGTTTGTGTTTGTGTGAAATATGTTTACAATTTTAAGGAACCGCTGCTCCTGTAACTTAGTGGTTAAAGCGTCCGCCTCGGATGCGGGAGGTCGTGGGTTCAAACCCCGGCCGAGTCATGCCAAAGACTCTTAAAAATGGTGCTAACAGTTCAGCATTATGAGGTTAGTGTTAGGACTGGTTGGCCTGTGTCAGGATAATGTGACTGGGGGGGGGATATCATGCCACATGTCTGCGGCATGATGCCCCAGTGCTAGACATCACTATAAACTGTGACACTGCGGACATAGTAGCAATGTTCAAACGAACATCTACAATAGTATGCCTACAGTGTTTTAATGCGTTTGAATGACATGTTCAAAACAGCCTATACAATGAACAGAACAGTAAGGTATACGAAACTGTAGTTTAAATTTTAATATGCTAATACATTTGTTTGTTTGCAGATATATATTATTGATTCACGCATGCATTTGTGTATTCATTGCGTAGGATTCTAGCGATATGTTAGTTCTAACAGCTAAATCTTTTTTTTTTAATCATCAATTAATTGAGAGAACTGACGGTGTGTATGTAATTAAATATTCGATAAGTAGAGTTGAGTAGGGATTTAATGAATTGACCCTATTATACGAATATGTCATATTTCTTAGGATATATGAATATTCTCTGTGCAGGAAGATATACACACACTCGTCATTACTCTCAAGAAAAATCTAACTTAAGAATTTTCCATGAGATAGTTCCTAAATCGTTTCTTAAAGTGAACGAACTTAAGTTTCCCTGGGAAATCTGAAATAATTGTTCCTAACATTTCCCTTCAAGTCAATTGTCCGTCGTTTGTTTCACTGGCCTAAAACATTTCATAATTAGCTTCCTTTGAATACTCGGTTATTTGACGAGTGCCTCTTTTACCATAAAAAAATGACCGAGTCATATTTAACTGATGCTTACAGCAATTCCTTTTATGTTTAGAGATGAAATGAAGAAATAAACATTGAACTTTCACCAGACCTTTCTGCTTCGACTATGTTAACTTTAAAGTACAACCTTAGGTTTCAACAAGTTTCAAAATTCGACACATCGCAACTGTAGACATATTATTGTAGATGCTATTTTGAACATACCGTTCAGACTACTTAAAACACTGTTGTGTTTATTATAGAGGCTGTTTTGAATACGTCGTTCAAACTTATTAAAGCACTTTAGGCATTAAAATTGTAGAGGCTGTTCTGAACATGTCATTTCAAACTCATTAAAACATCGTTGCCATCATTGTCGAGGCTGTTTTGAACATGTCGTTCATGTTTATCGAAAACACTGCAGTCATACTGTCGAGCTGTTCTGAACATGTCATTGAAACTCATTTAAAAAAAAACAATATTATTAGATAGGCTGTTTTGAGCATGCCATTCAGATCTTTGAGAAGAAAAAAAAAACATTTCAATTAGTCCAACAAAAAATTATGAGCTAAGAATTATACCTCCGCAACCTCTTACTCGTATTGCTTCCGCAACCTCTTACCCGTATTGCTTCCACTACTGGGGTACCGAGTGGTCGAAAAGTCTAAAGAGTTCTCCGTTACTGATCACTGCCATCTCACCTCTGTCTGTGTGGGTTCGAGTCTAAGATTCGGCGAATGTGGATATGTGAGAAAGCTTGACTGTATCTTCTCGTGGGTCCATGATTCTTTCCGCGAATTTCTCAGTTTCTTCCTCCACCATTAATACTGGCCGCCACGTATAGTCTATCATGTGTTGAAAAATGGTGTTAAGCCCAACAACAACATTAATACTCGTTACTGGAAAAGGTTCAATACCGCATATCCCCATCTCTGTGTGAACTCGCTTTTAAATAAAGACTAACTGCATTGATGCGCTGACAGATCATGATTGATGCAATTTGTTGGAATAAATCAGTTAACTAACAAAACACAGATCCTGATCTACCAACGTATTTGGCGAAGGTAGATGAAGGATTATGTTTTTGGGTTTGACCAGATTTATAAAGGATAATATACAGCATGGATAAATTTATCACCGGAAAACGAATTAGTAGTACCGAAGATAACTTTAATCGAGACTGCCATTTTTTCATGTCACCTGGAAATGGTCATGGATCTAATTTGAATTTGTTTTCGTTCTGCTCGTACCTATGTGTATCAAGAACAATTATGGACAACATGTACAACAGGTGTAGCATATTAAGAGTTTGGTTCCCTGTCTTATGCTCCCTGCTTTGCACATCGCTATACTAAATCAGGTGAACGTCGAAGCCATATTGTCACGTGATCCAAATAAATGGCCTTAACATGGAGAGGTCTGTTTAGTATAACTGCTGCACATTTATTCCTTTAATATTCAGTTTGTGGTGAGAGAGTGTGAGCTTTTCTAATAGTTTGGATCTATAGCAGCAGCTTTCCTGTTTTCCAGCGTATAACCACCATTTCGATCATATAATTATTTTTACAAATAGTTTTACTAGTCGGAAATGATGAAGGAAATTATTACACACAACGATATTTTGTTAATACTGCACATTTTGCACAGCGTCATTAAAAAATTCCCTCTTTTTTAGATTCCTTAATAAATTTTACGTTGAAATTGATATGAGGATGTACGACAGCCTAAATATAGCCAAAGATTAAGACGAAAATATCACGCCTCTTTTACGAGGGGGTAATGGTAACGATTGGTTTGTAAATATTGCACACTTTACACCACGTCATCTACAATATTATAGGTGTGATAACCTCCTTCGTCAGTTTTACATCGATATTGATATCTCGTTGTAAATAAAAAATATTAAGTCTGAAATAGCAACCAAATCCCACGAGAGGGTAAAGGTGACGATATTTAGTCAAATGTATTCAATCATGCTCGTGTGTGTGTGTGTGTGTGTGTGTGTGTGTGTGTGTGTGTGTGTGTGTGTGTGTGTGAGAGAGAGAGAGAGAGAGAGAGAGAGAGAGAGAGAGAGAGAGAGAGAGAGAGAGAATATTATTCAGTCATACTCGCTACGATGCCTGCAGTGTTGCAATTCATAGATCATGCTCATGATACATACAAGTTTGTATGCTAGTCGATACGGTAATTATTTGCTTCGTGTCACGCACTAGGGTCAAGTCGTACGAGCGGGTCACAAACAAACAGTATGCATTACGCTAATTATGTAGATCCCCTATATTGTCTGCAATTTGTGTGTGTTGTTGTTGCTGTTGTTGGGCTTAAATCCATTTTTCAGCACACGATAGGCTATTCATGGCGGCCAGTATTAATGTTGAAGAAGAAACCAGGAAATCACCGGAAAGAACCACCGACCCAAGAGAAGCTACTGGCAAGCTTTCTCACATATCCACATTCGCCGAATCCTAGAATCGAACACACGCAGACAGAGGTGAGATGGCAGTGATTCGTAACGGACAGCGCTGTAGACCACTCGGGGCCCATATATATATATATATATATATATATATATATATATATATATATATATATATATATATATATATATATATATATATATATATATATACACACACACACACACGAGCGCTCACACATTAAACTAATGTAAAAATTTTCAATAAACTTGCTTTTCTTTTCCCCTGACAAAGGAATCTTTTTAAGATTGCCTACATTGGGCAAATTACATTGATACTTGACAGTATTATTTCCTTCTCATACCAATGCAATGAAATGCTTCTCTTTCTATTATACCAGGCTGATTGCAGAATGAGTCACTGTCACTCGCATTTTAGAAATGCACGTTTGAGATTAGAAATGACCTGGGCCAAGCACGATCCTGTCCTATCTTTGTGAAACACACCTTATCAACTACAAGCCATTTAAAGCCGCACGCTCCAGACCATTCCAGGCAAGTACAACGTCAAGCAAGCACAAGTGTTTGTTTTGCCTCCACAGAACGCAAGCAGATTTGGTACTTAGCAAGCAGACGAAAGTTTCAAAATGGCCTGGGGGTCCTCGCAAGCGGCCCTCACTCTGGCCACTTTGTGCGGGATTCTCAATTTTGCGGCAGGGGCGAACGGTAGAACGACGTGCACGCGCACGACAAACAATACAGTATACGACTCTTATTTCTTAAACGTACACGGCAATGAGTCGATAGATCTAAGAGACTACCGTGGGGAGGTCCTCTTGGTCGTCAATGTAGCAACATACTGAGGGTTAACCGTGCAGTATCACGGATTGAATGCACTACAAGACAAATACCGTAATGACGGCTTCCGTGTGCTGGGAGTGCCGTGCAACCAGTTCCATTATGTAAGTGCATACGCCTCTGTTGTTTTCATGCATACAGTCAAACACACACAAACACGCATTACATCAGCAGATTGAACATGTAAAGATTTTAAAAAAATATACAAGATAAAACTGACCATTGATGGCATGTTTTAAGTCTCTAATCCTTTACGTATTCTTAGAAATTTTCTCTGCTTGCTGATTTTTCAGAAAACATTCGCATCAAAGACAAAAAAAACCCCATTATTTTCTTCTTCCCGATCACCTTGATCAAGAAGTTAAGATTAATTACGTGCACTTAGATCAATATAAAGTGATGCATATGTTTTTGTGTGATGTAGACGTGGTCTAATAAGACGCGGAACTAAATAGACAATACCAATATAAAAAAAAGAAAGTGTAACATAAGAGGAAAGAAATGCAATTTTACAACGTTTGGCGAACCAATGAATGAGATGCTCGGAAAACTATACAATAGTTTGAAATGGATCGTATAAATTTAACCTAGGAGAAGGAGAATATTGGCTAATCGGGTGTTTGCAGTCAAATACTGAATCATCAATTCAATCCTGGAAAATTGCAACATTTTTTTTTATAAAGATTCTTGATAAGATTCTCCCAAGAAAAGCAGTGATGTCATTTTTGTTTTTACGTGAATTTGGATTTTGCATACTTGGCACAAAACAAACTTGGTCACCTAAATATAAATTGCAGGGATAGGGCTAAAGTATAAAATGGAGGTTAATGTGGTCTTTCTCTCTGGCTAGAATAATTTAACCTCTAATTGGTCAATTGCCTCTCAGATTGTTTTTATAACCAGGAATCACACTTGTATATATTCAAAAACAGTGTCAAAATTC